TTTATATGTCAGTACAAAACATGATAAATTTAAATATGTATAGATCGGTATAAGTTTATGATGTGAATAAAAGCCTGTAATAAACACAAGGAGGCACATATTTTAAAGGAATGGGTGTGTTTTAAAACTGATATTCATATATCAAATCAGATTAATGCTCTGGCATTCTGCCTGAAATTTCTAACATCAGATGTCATTTCCTTATATACCATGCTCTGAGTAAAACTAGCGAACTTCTGCTTACATATTTACCTGATTCTGACTTTTACTGTTTTCATCTTCATTGTCAAAGATGATGTCACTGTCAGAGTCTGAAGCAGGGCTGAAGAAAAAGAAATATAAGAAATATTAAACAAACAAACAAAAAAGCTGACATTCTTTTTAGTTCACCAGAAAACCAAAGAAGCTAGAGCATTATAGCATGTGGTGGTTTGAAAGAGAATGACCACCATAGGCTCATCTATTTGAATGATCGATTGGTCTCCAGCTGGTGGATTAGGAGGTATGGCCTTGTTGGAGGAAGTGAATCACTGAAAGTAGGTTTTGAGTTTCTCTGTCTCTGAATCATGACTGCCTGCCTGCCTGCCTGCCACCAAGCTTCCCACCAAGATAGAAATGAACTAATTCTCTGAAACCACAAGCAAGCCCCTAATTAAATGTTTTCTTTTATACGTTGCTTTGGTTATAGTGTCTCTTCACAGCAATAGAACAGTGACTAAAACACACCATAGCTGCAGCATCAATACAGATTGGGTTGTTGGCTTCTCTTTTCTGTTACCCAAACTCTGGTCTTTATTTTATTTAAAGAAAAATCTTTGTTTTATGTGTATGGGTCTGTGCACCCTTGTATTCAGTACCCGCAGAGGCCAGAAGGGGGTATCGGATCCCCCTGGGACTGGAGTCACAAATGGTTGTGAGCAAGTCCTCTGGAAGAGCAAAGAGCACTGAGCAATCTCTTCAGGCCCCAACAAAGAACTCTTTAAAAAAGTAGCTAGATTGTTTCTCAAAGTAATTAATCGCTAAGATAAACTGTATCCAACTGAGTACAGTGAAGCACATCTCTAAGGCAAATGCCCTTGGGTCATAATTATGGGTCTCTGCCAGTTAGGACTACATCAAGACTCTAAGACTCTTAAGCGGTCCACAGAGTTGGAAGCTGTGATTTAAAGAAGAGCCCTGGCACAAATTCTCAAATCTATCAAGATAAAGTACTGAAAATCACTTCTGCTTTTCCTTTTTCCTGGCCTCGGATGTGGGAAATTTAAAAATTCCTACAGGTTGCATTTGGCTGCTCTCTGAAACAGGTTTCCACCGGCTTGCTTCTCTCTCGTTCTTCTGGGGTGGGCCTGTTGGGTTAGGCATCAGGGGTACCCTACTGCTAGCTAGCACTTACAGGAAGGACTGTGAGAAGACGCCATCGTGCTCATCTTCATCCTCCTCGTCGCTGCTGCTGGAGCCCGGGCCGGTGACAGGGAAGCGCGCGCTGGTGGAGCGCTCTGCAGATGTGCTCCACTCCACAGAGCTGCTGAGGATGGGTGGCGGTGCTGCGGCCTCCACACTGCCCAGCTCCTCCGTGTCGCCTGCTGTTTTTCCGCAGGCAGCTGGGCTGTCCTGGGCCTGGGGTCTGCAGTCTGGGGGTGGTGTCCCGGGCATTGCAGGGCGTTCATGCCGCTCGATCCAGGCGTTGTAGTAGCGCACAATGTTCTCATGGTGCAGGCGCGACAGCAGCGTCACCTCACCCTTGATCCTGCGGAAGTGCCTGCTGGCAGGGTTGATTGGGATGCGCTTCACCGCATAACAGCAGCCATCCAGCTTGTTTTGCACCTGCCAAGCAGTAGGGGACAGGACCTGGTCATATTCGTGGCCAAGAAACTGCACACTGGCATTCACACCGCCGGGCCCCATTAATTCCTCCCCAGCAGAACCTGGAATTCTGAGAACCCACAATAATAGCCGAGAGCCACAAGGCTTAAATTCAGACTGAGAAAAGCCTTGGTTACCCCCAAACTAGGGGAAAAGTTGAAGGTTCTGCTGGGAGACACTGGGGAGGGCACAACCTTCATCTCCCTGACTCCTTGTTTCTTTCTCTTTCTCCTCGAAGTCCCTTTTCTCCCATCTCATTCTGCGATAGGGTCTCACCATGTAGCCAGGCCTGCAACTTGATATCTTCCTGCTTCAGAGCTAGGGTTACTGAAATACTCATTACCTCTGTTTAGTAATTACTTTTCTTTTTCTTTTATGCTTGCCTTAAACTCCCTATGCAGATAGGGCTAACCTTAGACTGCAACCTCCCTATGCAGATAGGGCTAACCTTAGACTGCAACCTCCCTATGCAGATAGGGCTAACCTTAGACTGCAACCTCCCTATGCAGATAGGGCTAACCTTAGACTGCAACCTCCCTATGCAGATAGGGCTAACCTTAGACTGCAACCTCCCTATGCAGATAGGGCTAACCTTAGACTGCAACCTCCCTATGCAGATAGGGCTAACCTTAGACTGCAACCTCCCTATGCAGATAGGGCTAACCTTAGACTGCAACCTCCCTATGCAGATAGGGCTAACCTTAGACTGCAACCTCCCTATGCAGATAGGGCTAACCTTAGACTGCAACCTCCCTATGCAGATAGGGCTAACCTTAGACTGCAACCTCCCTATGCAGATAGGGCTAACCTTAGACTGCAAAAAGAGCCCTAAGAGCAGCACACCTTAAAACAGGCCATTATTCCCCATTTTTGTAAGCTAGAAAATGAGAGCCATCAGCACTATCTCCCCATGTGCCGCCACCTCTGTTCTAACTTTGGAACCCTTTTCTCTACGGCAACGCCAACAAAATTGGGGGAAGGTGGAAAGGGCAATTCCCTTCCTGAACTAAAGCACACGAAAATGTGCTTCACGCAGAGATCTTGACCACTCAGGATACTGATAATCATGTCCTTTTCATGGCATTGTTCTGAGCCAACCAAGGACAGCGTAACGTTAAAGCAAGCCTTTAACTCCAGGAAGTGAAGGTTCACAGCTTCAAGAGTCTTATTCACTTTCCTTTCCACTCTCAAAATGGAAATCAAGCCTGTGGGGCCATGGAAATCAAAGAGAAGGAGCTTTAAAGGGGACTGGGGACAACTCTGTCACACCTTTATAACTGCTCCAAAAGCTCCTTTCCCTAGAAGTTGTAATTCTTCAAACTCGATGAAGTATCGGGAAAACTGTCTCTGTGTCTCACTGAAGAATGCAGCGCTGGGCAACTGGTTGCTGGGGATGACAGTCTCAATGTAATCTTGTCCCCCAGAATCTAAGATGAAACAAAAGCATTAGAAATACAAGAAGACTGGCTGAGCCAGACAGATGGTTCAGTGGTTAAGGGCCGTACTGCTTTTACAGCAGTCTGGAGCTTGTTCCCAACACCCATGTTAGGCAGCTCACAACTGTCTGTAACTCCAGCTCCAGGGAATCTGATGCCATCTTCTGGATTCTCTGGGCACTGCATGCACACCTGTATATACCTGCCCCCACCCCATACACACATAATCAAGAATAAAATTTAAAAAAATACAAGCAGTTCACAGAATCCAACAATATAAGCATGAGAGGAAGGGGCTCCAACTGGCCTGAAAAAGTACTCCTTACACTCTGACATCTTTTCTCAGGTCATGGTACAGCCCATGGTACAGTGAGGGTAACGGGGGATGGAGAGGAAGAGACTGAACCAGACAGCCAGAACCCAAACTCAGGTCTCCTGGTCCATCCCAAGCTCTACTAGGGCTATATGGTAATATGAGTGACACAGCAAGATGAGAATGTCCACTCCATTAACAGACACTGGGAGAACTAGGGTGGCCAAGCCGTCCGTCCCGTGCACACAAGGCCTGCACATAAATGGGTTATGTGTAGCCTGGCATGAGTAAAAGAAATAATCCACGCAAACATTCTCAGTTTCAGGCTTTGTGTCTTCATAATAAATAAAAGGATGGTAGTCTTGTGTAGTAGTGCATGCCTGTAATCTCAGCACCCAGGAGGTGGACGCAGGAAGACCAAGAGGTGGAGCCTGAACTACATAGTGGGATCCTATCAGGGAAAAAAAAAAAAAAGAAAAGGAAAGGAAAGGTAGGTGGTTGGGTAGGTGGTTGGGCAGGCGGGTGGGCAGGACTCACCTTCAGGACTCTGCTCCACTAAGGGCATTTTCGGCTGAGGGTTTATAAAGCTGTGCTTCAGCAACTGCTGAGGGCTCCATCTTTCCTTGTCGTCCAGGCAAACACACCTCAGTTGGGGAGGGAGAATCTCAGCAGTGTGTAATACAAATAAATGCCTTCCTGTCAATCCACCCCATCCAACTATGGCTCTGCTTTCCCTTTTAGATACATATTAGCAAATTCATGTCACTTATGGAGCAAAATGTACTTAAAAGTGAATCTAAATGAGTAAACACCATTTCAGGGTTTGCATGTTCCACAGCAGACTGACATAAGTAGAAAATGAAAAAACAAAAAAGGGAAACGAACTGCACTGTGTTGACTCCAGCGGCATGGAATGACTGGATATGAATGATATAGTCTCAGACCACAGACGTCAGCTTTGGATTTTCACTTCCATTAGCAGCTGGGTCACTCGCCCTGTTGAACTAAGCCTGCTGGGGACCAGGCATAAATTTTCCAACCAGAGCAACCAGATGCTGATGAATCTGAAATACACTGAACAACACTTGTTGACCACACACCTTCAATACACATTCCCAGAGCTTGCTTAGCATTTGGTGTTCTAACAAGTCATTTTTGTTTTGCTTTGGGTGAGTCAAAACAAGCCATGCCAGGAATTCTCAAAGTGGGGTTCCTGACCCACATTTGACTCTGTGACATATTTAAAAGAATTATGTCATTGTGAGTTCCAGATTTCGAACCTACATATATGAAGCAATAACAGTAGCCAGCATAAAGGATAATGTAGTTTTGATGGCATAGCATGAAGAGGTAAAAGACTGGTTTATACCTGGAAAGGGCAAGAGAACATCATTTGTATAAGATGTTATATTTTCTGTTACATTAAAAATAAATTTCAATTATACCAGTAAAACAAAATTCCTGTGAATATTAAAAATATTATTCAAAAGTTATAAAGTATTTTATTTTACTTTTTTGAAAAGGGTCTTACTATATAAATCCCTATGCCCTGAAACTCACTCTATAGACCAGGCTGGTCTAGAACTCAGAGATTTGCCTGCCTCTGCCTCTGGAGTGCTGAGATTAAAGGTGTGCGCCACCATGCCTGGCCTTATTTTATTTTCAGATTTATTTTTGTTTTATGTATATGATTTTTTTGCCTAGATGTAAATATGCACACCATGTAAGAAGAGGGTGCCGGATCCCAAGAGGAGTATGGATAGTTGTGAGCCACCAGGTAAGTCCTGAGAACCAAACTCAAGACCTCTGTAAGAGCAACAAGTGACCTTAAGTGCTGAGCCATCTCTAGCACCTTTAGTGCATATATGAGACAGGGCTCTACTGTATATTCCAGATTGGCCTTGAATTTGCAATCCTCCTTTCTCATTCTTCCAAGTAAGATCACAGGCATGTGTCAATCACACCTGGGCAAAAAACAAACAAGCAAGCAAAAAACTAGTTTTATAGGTTGTGGTGGTACACACCTCTAATCCCAGTACTTGGGAGGCAGAGCAGGAGGATGTCTGTGAGTTCAAGGTCAGCCTGGTCTACATAGCAAGTTACAGGCCAGCTAGAACTATAAAGTGAGACCCTGTCTCAAAACAAAACAAAACCACAGTTCTTGCCTCTGATTTCTCCTTCCTCTTAATCTCCTAATGTGCATCACTATAGATCATTTCCTACCTATTTCTATATATACATGAACAACAACCCAACCATAATGTTATCCAGGATATTGAGGTTTTTAGATAACATTATCTTGTATGTATCCATTTTTAACTTGCCTTTCAAAAGTGGCCTTCTTAGCCATGTGTCTTAAATTTTTCTGTCCAACTCCTGTGTCAGCTTGGACCTACTGGAATTAATTTATATATTCTCCTAGTTCTGTTGGGGTTATTTCCACTTTCACACTCACTGTACTGACCATCTCCACACACTCTGCTTTCATTCTACCATGCACTATCTACTCGAAGTCTGCCATGACATTAATGTGACTGACACGTAGATCTGGATCAGAGAAGGTTTAAAGCTTGCTGAGAGTAAACTGCACTTTTCAGGGGCTCTTACTCGAAAAGATGATATTCTTGGAATCAATCATTTTGTCAGCATGGTGGATACTAGCAGCAGAGGTGATGCTAGCTCCAGCTTTGACACCAGAAGGGATGGCAGGCCTGGAACCTTCCACCACTCACACTGTGGAGAGTGATGAAAGCTAGCTACAGAACTGAGTCAGCAGGGGCCAATGGCAGCACATGATAGGTGTCAATTCACTTAACCCCAGAAACAGCCAGGGAACTGCCAGAATTTATTTACTACATTCTCCTACTCTTGGGATTGTTCCCAGTTATTTTTACACACACACACACACACACACACACACACACACACACACACACACACACACCACACCCCTACCTCCCCCATGCTGTGCTGGATTTCTTCCCATGCTGTGTTAGATTTCTGAAGAGCACTATCAACTCTCTCCCTCAACTGTGACATTAATGTGACTGATGTGACAACAGATGTGGATGAGGAAAAGTTTAAAGCCTACTGAGAATGACTTGTATTTTCAGGTATGGATAGCTACCAGGATCTTGTTGGGACCTGATCTGCCATCTGACTCCAGGAGCTGAGCTCTTCCCCACCTCACAGCTGACTTCCCAAGGGTGTTAACTAAGGATAGCAGGGATCACAGAAGGGATCCACTGTGCTTTTGTAGATTATTTGCTTCTTTGGCCTCTTTCCTCAAATGAACAATCTATTGTGGCTACTTTTTGTGACAAATCAACAACCTTGTTTAAATGCTATGTGTTGCTTAAAAACAGGGCACAGCCTGAGAACGCATCATCATGGGTTATAGAGTTGCTGCATAAATGAACACAGCTCCAACGTCACATTCACTCTTATGTGGCCACCATCACCTATGCGGTTCATAACTGACAGAAACTCTGATGTGAACAAGATGCTCCAATAGTGAGGTAGTGAGCGACAAGAGATCACTATGGGTCAGGCCAACTGGAGATGGGCAAAGAGAAATGTTCAGGCAAGAGAAAGGAACGCAGGGAGATGAAGTGAATAAACGTGAATGACTAGGAAAACAAGGGTGAAAAACCAAACAGTGTGAGGAAGGAGAAGCAGCCCGGGGTGGTTTCTGCAGGAGGCTGGACCAGGGGGTACTGGAGAAACCCAAATCGAAGAGCAGATTTCCTCTTATTAGAAACTGAGACAGTAGCACCGGCTTAGGTGAGAACATTAGGGGTTAGGGTGGAAACCCTGAGGGGAATGACCTGGACAAACACTTTAGGTCTAAGGGAAGCCTCTTATTAAGGATTCTCTCCAGCTGGACAGATCCTGGCTCTGGGCCTGTGAGATGGCAATGGGAGAAAGTACTTGCCCCATAGCCCGAGTTTGATCCCTAGGGCCCACTGCGAAAGGAGAGAACAGACTCCAGGAAGTCATTCCCCTGACCTCCACGCAAGTAATGTCAGTGGGTTCTTGCACTCATAGATACAGACAAATGCAAGGACAGACACACAGATAGAGACACACACACCCCACATACACCCCAGACACATTCACATATTTTAAAGCTGGCTTTGTAATGATTATGTACCTGTGATTCACAAATACAGAAAATCCTCTGGCTGGAAACAGGCAGTCTTTGCTCCTCTGACCTGGCTGAGTAAGAGAGCCACTGGAGAGGAATAGTCACGATAAAAGAGGGCAGAACCACACTTCTCAACTGGCTTCCTGAGGCCTCCTCTTTGGTCTCTCAGGATTCAGCAGCAAAGCGAATGGAGAAGGTCTACCATATGGAACACACGGGCCATCTCTCCTCTCACTACTGCCCACACTTGTGGGATAGACAGGAATGGGGAAAAATTCTAGAGTATTCCAGGCAGTCTCCCAAAAGTAGTTTGAGAATCAATTATTAAACTCAAGTGTGTTTAGGAGAATGTGGAAGATGGTGATGAGGAAACAGAACACATGAGCCTGGGAAAGGAATGCACTCTGGCTCCTCTCCTCAAGTCTCAGCTTCCCCATTTCTTAGATGCACAGGAGGAAAGAGCAACTGAGCAATCAGTGATACTCACTTCTTCAGGAAGTCTTGGAAGTCAGCTGGTAAGTCACTGGGTATGGTCACGGGGTACTCCGCACACTCCTGTCCTTGGCTAAGAGACAGCAGCAGAAGGCCAAGCCGCCACACATCCCCTTTCTTCCCTGTTTTGTAAGGCAGGGCACTATCACTAAATCGAACTCGAGTTTGCTCAAATACATCCTCTTTGCAAATGTCTGCCAGACGCTTAGAGATGCTGTAGTCTGTTATCTTTACAGTGCCCTCGGCATCTACCAAGACACTGGACGTGCTCAGAAACTTGTGCACCACGGAGTTGCTGTGCAGGTAATCCAGGCCTGCCAGGAGCTGAGCTGTGTACTTGCGCAGCTGGTGCATAGGGATTGGGCCCGAGTGGCTCAGGTGTGCAGCAAGAGATATCCCACTGATGTGCTCTGCCAAAATGTCTACCACGATGGAGTCCTCCTGCTCTCTGGAGTTCATTGCAAAGTATCGTACGACGTTTGGATGGCTCAGTTTCACCAGGGAGCTGAATTCTGTCTCTGCTCCTTGAATCTGAGAAGAGCATGAGGCAAATGACCTTAACTGGTGTTTCACTTCAACAGTAAGGTGAGGTAGACATACCCTTTCAAAGACAGGAAAGCAAGATGCCATGACCCGAATCTTCCCCTAAACTGGTGGATCAACCTGACAGTACATAAAAATGCAAGAAATTTTTAGCTAATTATCAACTTCAATGTCAAAAATTAGTGTTCAAATACCATAAAAATTGCTGAGTGGCTTTTAAATTTAATTTAATTTATTTTTGGGGTGATATGGCTAGCAGAAAAAAAAAGAAAAAAACATCATCATATCTAATATAGCATTTTTTAATTATACAAAGGGTTATTGTAAAACATTTAAAATCTGGGGGGTGGGGATGCAGTTCAGTGATAGAGCCTCCATCCGGCAGGCAGGAGACCTTAAATTTAATTCCCAGTACCCAAAAAGGAAATTTAAATATATATAAAACACAAGAAGAAAAAAATCCTCAAACTTATTTATACGAGCACCATCCAAAAATAACTATTGATTTTGGTGTGCTTCAGAATTCTCTTGCTTTTGGTTGTTTTCTATCTAATGTTTTCATTAAGTAAAGGCAACACACACTATTAAATGCTCCCCTGAGTTCAGCATTATAAACTCATGTAAAATTCTTTCCTCATTCCCAGCATTGCACAAAAATAAAAGAAAACCCTGAATCTTCAAAATTCAGTTTTAAAGCAGCATGTTAAAAGGGCAGAGGAAATATATGTGATTGCAATGGGCACAACTAGGCAGTGGTATTAATTCAGGCAGGCAGAAGTCATAGGGGCTGAGGCCTGGAGAAGGTATGGGTCTCCCATGGTCCTCTCAACTCTGTGGACCATCTGCGGGAGCCAATGGAACATAGGCATTTTGCTTGAGATTAGGCCGCTCTGGTCAGCCATGGGAAATAGTCATTGACCTTTTTCTTTCTTTTTTGTTGCTTTGAATCTGAGACAAGGGCTCGTGTAGTCCAGGCTGGCCTCAAACTTGCTATGCAGCTTAGGATGAGCCTGACCTGGTCTCCCTCTTCTACTTCCAAGGCCTGGGAATCTGAGGTGTGTGCCAGCATGCCAGGTTACCTACTTGCTTTCTGCACTTATCGATCTTCTCGTTTTCTTGACTGGTAAGGAAAGGGCCCATCTTTTTCTGCCACTGAAGGACCCACTCATACAACAAGACAAAGCTGCCCGTGGCTGTTTCCAAAGCATTGTACACCACCTTCCCCAATTGCTCATCACTGCCTGCAGAAAGACAGAAAAGGTCATTGCGTCCACTTCCATTAAATACGTGTGTGTGTGTGTGTGTGTGTGTGTGTATACTTTAACACCAACAATGGGTACCACATGCTAACAATGAAAAGTGTCATTTAGTATAATACATGTCCATTTGTAACCAATTTTTAATAATTACCAATATAACCCAAGCCTTCAAATACCAATTGTAGAAAGTTCAGCATCAATGATGAGATCTTAGCATCAGGAGAGATAAAAAGAACAGCAGCTTGCTGGACCTGCTTTCCTCAGCAGCTCCCCTTTGCTAACCATGCCTGCTTTGTCCTTCACACAGCTCTGCAGGAAGGGGACCTCCTCAAGGCCACTCTACTAATACAGATTAGTGTGCACAGAGCATAAACTCTGATTATGCTTAGCAAAGCCGAACTGCCCAATATTTTGGAGGATAAAAACCAGAAATGACAGTTAAGGCTAGAAAATGGTGCACTTAGTTAGCTAATGGGCACATAGTTTCTTCTTGGGGACCAGAAATGCTGTAACATCAAACACTGTTGTATACAAAAATCTCCATTGCCATTAACTATTATAATAGAAAAAGAAGAAAAAGAAAAATTTTTAAACTTTTATTTTCCTTTCCTCTAAACTTCTTTTTCTTAATTTACCTCATCATAGTATATGTAGCACCCAGGACAGACAGTCCTTGGTTGTAGGGGAATGCTTAGTGGCTGGCTGTCAACAAGTTAGAATGCCACTAGCATCAACCATCAAACACACCTGCAGACTGGGGTAGCTCAGCAGTAGAGTGCTTGCCAAGCATGTGCTAGCCACAGGGTTCAGTACTCAGCATGGAAAACAAGTGGTCTTCAGGTTTCACCAAATGACCCCAAGTTACTAACTCTTCCAGTGGAGAACCACCAATAGTAAAGTAATCTATCCCTGTGTGTGTGCACAATGATGTGTGTGTGTTAGAGAGAGAGAGAGACAGAGAGAATATAAGAATGTGTGTGCATGGCAGCTGGTCGTCCTCTTGCTGTCTGTGGGGCAGGGTGTTTCTCTGGCCTGGAACTCATTAGGGGCCGGCTGGCCAGTGAGCCCTAAAAATCTGCCCACCTCCTGCACTAGTGTTACAAGAGCACACCATCATGCTTAGCTCTTTTATTATTTGCAATTGGGTTCTGGGGTTGAGTCAGGTCTCCTTGCAAGCACTTTACTGACCAGCTGCTATCCCTCAGCCTAACCCTTTCCTGTTAGTGGGAAAGACTTCTTTTTCATGATATTACCTCACTTTCTAAATGAAGAAAAATCATTTAAAAGCCACTGATAATTATGTTTTCCATTTGAAAAAATCAGAAGCAGAAACAACTGTCATCTAGAAGACAGTTTCAGCATAAGTACTTTGGAGAAGTATGCCTGAATTTGCTTACCTAGACTCTGCATTTAACAAGGCAGTTTTTGCTTCAAGGAAATGCTGGCCATTTAGAGATTTTAATTACAATAATCTAATTATTTGCTAGTCATATTGACTCCTAAAAGTCTTAGCTTAAGACGGTAAACCCTGGATGCTTGGGAAACTTGTCAACTAAAGGAAGCATGCATTGAGAAGCTCACTGGAGACAATGACACTAAGCAGGGTTTATGGGATGGAGGATGACATGACTCAGATGACGTCTCTTTAATTTGTGTGTCGCCCAGTGCATTATCTCATATGTATGTGTATGCACACACACGTATGTATGGGGTGATCAGAAGACAGCTTTGGGGGATCACTTATTTCCTTCTACCATGTGGTTTCTGGGTATCAAACTCAAGATGCCAGGTAAGTGCCTCTACCCCCTAAGTGACCCACTAAGCACTGTGTAGAAATAGCTAGATATTCTCTAATTGCTAGGGATTTTAAATTATAATTTTATTTTGCTGCCCTCCTATCACCTTTTCCTTGGTGGAGGCAACCCAAGGAATCTTGTTATGATAACAAGACAAAGCTGAAGGAGTGTTAGCAGGACACTGACTGGAGCTGTCAACGCCAGTAACAATCGCTTATCTAGACAGTTGTCAGTGTCTCACCCACAGCCATAAACCACTCTCTAGTCTCTCCATCTCCAACAACTTTAAGCTGAAAACCAAACATCAGTCTGCTGTTCTTCAAAATAAAAATATTAATTAGATGATGGTTAAAAGAAACTTCATAGAAAGTTACAATTAGAAGGCTCTAATGGGAGCCTTTATGAGAAAATGGGACCCATTATGAGAAAATAATTCATTCTTGATAGTTTACAATGTGTCTTCTAATGAAATCACTGAAGATAACTCTAACTAACAAGCACCAGTGATACTAAGAGCCCAAGCTTCCTGACTTCCCAGGTTATTAAAGCAGGGAGCTTCATGCTGACAGTTCATGAACGTGAAATGTCTGAGTCAACGACGGGCTCAAGTCCAAAGCCAGCCACCTCTGCCATGGTCTTGACTCTGCCTAGTGGCTGATTGGAGTAGGTCAGCCCTGTGTCTGCAGAGTCGAGTCTGTCTAGGCTGCTGTTACAATAGCCAGGCTGAGAGGCCAGCCCACAGACTCTTCAGATGTTGGTTTCTCCCACCTCTATCTGCTGCTCACTCACCGGGTGTTCTCTGGCTTATTTGTACCACCTTAAAATGAACAAAAAAGGTGCTGCAAGCAAACAAGCTTGATTTTAGACATGGTATCCATTAATTCTGGCAAGAATATTTACAGGATTGAAAATAAAAGTTAACTGTTAAATGTACTACATGAAAGCAAGCCCTAGCAGCTTGTCTATATGGCCAAGAAAGTCAATATAAGAAACTGGATTTTTAAAATTAAAATCTTGACTTGCAGAGAAAAGTTCATCAGAGACAACTGCTAAATAAGATAATAGAAAAAAAATAAAGTCCCCCCCCCCCCCCCCCCCCCCCCCCCCCCCCCCCCCCCCCCCCCCGCACACCCCCCCC